TTTCTGTTGCCTTATTATCTTTCCATTCAGTGCTTCCACCAATGTATTTTAGCATTTTCTTCATAGCCACTCAGTCACTATACACTCTGTCTAATAATTTTTGCATTTTAGTTGCTTGCTTTGTTTTTCTATTCTTAATCACTTCAGTCAGGCACCTGTCACTTTATGCCTTACATAATATAATAGGAGGGGACTACAAAAATTTGTAGAAAAATAGAATTAAAGATAATGGCATTTTCCCACACACTCTTAGACGCCCCCCTCATAGTTTGCTCGTTTCTTCGCTTCCTTCTAGGCTTTACCTATTTTAGTAATCCATGCAATAAACTCCTACTAGATTAGTATCCTGATTGTATTTTAGCAATCACCCCTGCAGTAAACAGTAACGGAAGTGCAAGAGTCAGACCCGCCTCCACACTCCATTCCTGGTTACCTGTTCTGACACTGATCCTTCCTCCCACGCCACTCGGCATCTATGTTGGCTTTGATAAATCGTTGCACTGGCCACACAGAACTCACAGACAATATTCATGGTTAAAGGGGGTTTATTAGGGAAGTTAATAGGTTACCACAAGTCAGGATCAGCAAACAGTAAGGGTACAGTCATTGGTCTTCTCAGCCAGCAGCCAAGTCTCTTTCTCTGGTTCTCAGCCTATCAGTCTTCCAAGGTCCTTGGGTTTCATCTCTTCAGAGATGGCTCTTCCTTGTAGCCAGGGGGGTGGTAATAAAAACTGACCAATCTCCTCTCAATGTTACACATACCCAGTTTTCTTAGTCCCACCTAATCATTTGATGGGCATTACTAATTCTTGGATAGAAGAGCGATATTAAGAAATAACACTCAGCCATGCTCCTAATGCATGAGTTTAAACTCTTTATCCACATATGTGTTCCCTTTTATAGCCAACTCAAATTACTCATGTGTCCAATTGATCAGGTGATCAAGTTTTAAACTTGATATGGTAGCATGCTAGTGAACCTAGGTAAATTAAGTATGCCAACTTCTGTGTGACATTATAGACCCAGTTTGGTTCTTCTCCAGTGTCTTTTCTTGGAGTTGGACTTGTTGTTATTACTAGTTTTCTTTAGAATCCATTGGGGAATGGGACCGTTCTGCCTTTGTTTAACTGTGAGGGAACTCTTGATTCTGCACATCATATGAGAAGACATTGCCTGGGTAGAAGCAGGTAGCCAAACTCACATGATGACAGAGAAAGAGAGAGTCATATAGAGTTCATTGTTAACTTTCTTTTTTCTCAAGGAATTTTGGGAAATGGTTATAAGCCTATAAACAATTCTGATTCTAAGGAGATAATGTTACTCAACAATAACACATCAAAACAGTGTTCTCTATGTGTGAAGGTTTGGGCTTTTCTGATTCTTGAATAGAAATCCCAAATTTACTTATCACTGTTGCTGTGTGTTCCATTTTCAGCTTTGATAATTTCATATTGTTTAAATTGTGATAGGGATTATACTACTTTTAGGAAAGATTTAGAATTCAAAATACAAAAGATCATTTTAATGCTGCCTCTATAAAGTAGACCAGGGATCTATATAAACTTAAGATACACAAATGAATTTTGAGCTCACACTTAATCAAAAGCCCTAATCTAAGAATAATTAATTCTTATGATGTGGTCCTGCTTAATACTTGCCCTCACAAAGTGATCATATGAGTGCTTTAGCAAAGTGTAGCAAAGAAATCCGATGGTGTCTGGCTATCAGAAAGAATAGCATATGGGATCTGAGTTAGTTAGAAGTTTATTGTGCCAACCTGGCTGATAAACACATGTGGGGTTAATTGAAGGGCGGAGAGATAAATGGCTCGGTGAGACTCGCCTTCCTAGTCTCAGGTCTCTTGCTTTGTGATGGTCAGACCAGGGTGCAGCTGCCTTAGCCAGTTCCCTGTTTCAGCTAGCAAGACTCACTTCCTGCAAGACATCCCTGAGGAGAAGCCACATGGACCTACCCCGGATGCAGCCCTGGTTGCTGGAGCAGCCGTATGGAGAGACCCCTGCAAATGCTGAGATGCTTACACATTCACTGATGCTTACACATTACACTTTCCTCCTGCAGTTGGCATCATTGTGTGTGTTTTGTGAGATGGAGGAGGACTTTGTGGATTGGTGTCGGACATATGGGCTAATGTTGAACTTGTGGGTTTGGGCAGCACTGGGATGTTTCCTTGATGTGCACTTAACCTTTATATAAAACTCTCTTATACATGAGTTTCTGTGGATTTGTTTCTCTAAAGTACCCAGACTAATACAGGATCATAACGACTTGTCTTAAAACAAACAGCCATCTAAGTGAGGTATCAGCTAATTCTACATGGAAGGAATATACCAACCAACGTAATCAAAGGATGGTAAACAATAAAATCTAAGATAAGAGGAGGGAATTGTATTAGAGCTTAAATTCTGAACACCCAGTTTGCAGAAGGCTACAGATGATTTTGCAAACCTGATATTCATTGAGAATCCCCACTTGGGGTAATCCTCCATTAAACTCTCAGTTCATTGACTGTAAAAAGCATACTTGCTGCATGGAATTGATGCTGGCTCAGAGTGACCCCTGTGTGTTTCTGAGACTGTAGCTGTTTTATGGGGATAGAAAGCTCCATCTCCTGAGGAACTGCTTGTCATTTTGTACTGGTGATTATGCGGATCACCATCCAACCCAACCATGTACCACCTGGACTCCTCTAGACCATTAACTAGGGATGTGAATAGCCTTGCCCTCAGACAGAGTGCACTGAAAAGTGGATTACTGCAGATTCCATGCTGACTCATAGTGACTCTGTAGGATAGGATAGAACTGTGAATTTCTGACGGTCACTCTACAGGACTAGAAAGCCTCATCTTTCTCCTGTGGAGCAGATGGTGGTTTGGAACTGCTGAATTTGCTATTAACAAAAGATATAGTTTGGCTAAAATATAGCATATTATCATTTGTTTTCCCTTTTCACCCATTTTTAATTTGTCCCAGTTTCTAGTCTTTCTTTTGGAATGAGTTTTTTCTGTGTTTTATTTTGTTGTTGTTGGGGTTTTTTGTATGATTGTGTAAAATCCAGGTGCAGTAAGTCAATAGATGCAGTAACTAGATTAATAATTCCTTAGAGTTATGTCAGGGGGAGTTTGGGGGTTAATAATAGGTACAAGAATGAAGAAAATGCCC